AAACAAGAACATCTAATTCCTCTAGAACAACAACTTATATAGATACACCTTATACTGTTTCATAGTTCTTTAACAATTCAATTTTTATCATTTTCTTAAATGTACACAGTGATCCTGCATTTTTTTACATTATTATTAACATTGTTTAGACCTGCTTTGCACATTTATAAYGTTGAATATTAAATCCATCCTCTTTTACCACTTCACCCTGTTCAGGAGTTACAGCTGGTGCCCTCATCTAGTATAGTTATTTACATAGATTAACTCAGTTTGAGGCTTGAATCCTGACCTGAATCATTAGTAGTTATTAACTTTTAAGAAAGTACAGACTCACAACATTCAAACAAAACAGACTTTTACTTGTACAAATAAAATCTAAAACTCTCAARTCTGTAAACAGAGGTGATAAAATAAGCAAGTATGGAGAGCAACGACTGCGTGTTAAAGGTTGCAAACAGGCTAATAAAGACAAAATCAAAAGGACAGACCAGCAGAGGTTCCTTTCATGCTGTTTATCCCAGTACTGTTCAAAGAGCACCTTATTATCTAGGTGTGCTGCCCTGACTTCTCCTCTTTAATCTCAAATCAGGCTGAAAACTAAAATTGCCACTGTCACCCTCACAGGCGGGGCTCTGCCAACCCTGGGTGGTCTCCACTCACCAAAATATACGCATCCATCTGCGGAAAGATACAAAACAAAAACAGTAAGAGTTTAATGAAAACAAGTGTGCACTTCATCACACTTTGTGTTTAACAATCATCTTGCTGTGAAAGTGAGTGCATGCACACACTTTTATTGCTGTGAACCTCCATAAACTGAACATGAGCAGGATATTTGCAGCTGCTGCAAACATTCCAGTAGTAATGACTCAAACTTGTTTTTGTTATTATTTTTTTATTTTTGTAAAATAGGTGACTGTTCACTGCCTTGCACTCAAAGCAAGCTGGTTCTCTCATTTAATCTTCACCCTTTAGAGGCGAAAGGGTGTGTCTAAAAATAAGCATTATGGCATGTCACAGCAAGAGGAATTTGTAATAAAGAATGGTAAAGCTGAACAAAATAAGCTGAGGGTTGGACGTGCACAGTTTRTACTCCTGCAGTACAACCTTACAGGTAATTTCTGTGTTCAATCTGCGCTCACGGAGTGAGTCTTGAACAAGTGACTGTGTGAGCCATTGCAGTGGTCCCCAAAGTTGGGGTCGGGACCCTTTTGTGGGTCACAAAACATCAAGTGAGGGTCCCCAGATGATTTCCAGACATCGATTTGAATGCAAAAAAATGCTAATGGAATATTTTCACCATGATTATTGCAATTTTTTTCAACAATAATTATTAATGAAGACAATTAGTATTGTAGTTATTAGATTTGTTTATATTGTTGTTATTCCCATGTTTAACAGAGTTATTAGCAAAGTTTGCGTAAGTGAACAATTAATATCTGGGGTCGCGAGTGTCTGCAACTTTTTGTGGGCCGGAAGCAAAAAWTTTTGAAAACCACTGATCTACTGTAGCAGCTGCAGCGCTAGTCTGGATTTATCAGTACTGTACATGTTGGCAACACAGGAGAAAACATGATGTTCAAATCATAAAAACTATTAATCATAATATTAACAAAATATTAGTAATATTTTAGAGTGTATATACTGTATACCTACTATATATAAAAATACCAGAAAGCTGTCTGAGTTATGGAACAGAAAAATAGGATGAAGTGCCTATTTCACAGGTAAGCAGAATAAATCTTATTTAACTCAATGTGGATGTGATCTGACCAGAACTGAAGTAATTAATGTAAGTTTAAAATTAGAATAATCTTATAAAGCTGATGTAATCACTGTTAATGACTGAACTGTCAGATATTAGYTTCTGTAGCATATATTGCTATAGAGTGTAGCATTCTGCTGAATCATGCTACAATTTAACACAAACTATTAAATATTACAGGTTGGTTTTGCATCTGATTTATGTAATATTTAGTGTAAAATAATATTATAAATTTGACTATTTTTAGGTTTCTGTTAGACAAACCTGACCTGTTGAGAAGATGGCTATCCAATATCAGTAGAGAAGTTTCATCCTAAAGTATCACTGGGTAAACAGTGAACATTTTCTAAGTGTGGACTGGTAAATATTTTTTATTTATGATGGGTAAGAAATTTTAAATACACTTTATTACTAGCTGAAGTCACAATTTTTCAACTAGCTAAAAAGTCAAAGTTATTGACTGACTTCATGTCTGGTTTAGATAAGCATTACCTTTTTTCTTGTATATATCAACCTGTTTTACATGATTGTTGAATGAAATTAACATAATTATATTAATTTACTATAAAAAATACAGATAATTTGTGCCACAGATCCAGTTGTGTTTACTGCTAATCTAATAGTTGATACGACAACTGAGCTGTCGCCCTTTCTGGTCACCGTTTTTGCTCCTCCATGTTGTCACAGATGCTAACAGTGGACAGGCTAGGCGGGGCTCACTCTAGTGCAGGGGTGTCCAAACATTTTGTCACATGGGTCAAAATCATAAAGTCAGAAGGACTTGAGGGCAAAAAATATGTTTCCTTTACTGCTCAACAATAAACTAAACGCTGAATACTAAACAAATAAAGTAGTCAGATTTATTGTTGGAAATGTTTGCGTAAATTAATCTAGATCCAGAACTTTTAAAGTGTTTTGCAGGTTTCCCTTATTGAAAGAAATTTTGCAATTTTCTAGATTTCAATTGGGGTGGGGGAGAATAACCCAATTTGGTCAATTCTGATCAATAAAATCAGGATTTTTTGTCACTCTTTCATTGAAAATGCTTGCTGTATTCAGACAAATTTAATAAATGAATTAAAAGCAGATTGAAGTGCAAATCAGCTTCTGAGTAGAAGTCACTGAATAGATGTGGAAAAAGCTACGAGCCTGGTTATTTAAGGACAAATAATTGGTATTGTTGCCAATATTTTTTATTATAAGATTTTGCTTTGTCCGTGATAAATTTGTCCTGATAAAAAATAGAAAGTCTCCATCTACATCAAACACCTGTGCCGGGGGGACAAATTTGTAAACAAATTTGTATAATTCTTGAACTGAAGTCAGGGGCCACAAATGGCCACCGGGCCACACATTGGACATCCCTACTCTAGTGTTATTTACTGTAAGTCTATGTCTGTACCAAATAGAGATGCAGCATTGGATTAAATCAGTATTTACCTTTTCATTCACTGGTCTTGTGTCAGGCGTGACTGTGTAAACATTGATGAGCACTGCAGACAAAAAAAAAAAACAATAATGTAAGTAGATTTTCAGTCTTTTTTTAACCCTGTATGAACATTTAGTATAGCTAAAAAGAACAAAACTAAAGAAAATAAAAGCATATTTTTTTACTTCTCAAAAAGGTTGTTCTGCATTTCTGCCTGATTAACTAATTAGCCACCAACTACACGAGGGAACCTTTATGTTTGGGTTTGTAGATGGGTTTGTCGGTCTGGATGAACACAGCGGTGCCCTTGCTCTCCACAGTGACGGTGGTGTAGTTGTGGAAAATGTAACCTCCCTCTGTGAGCTGACGGTTTCCCCACACCTTCAGGTGGGCCTGGCCTCTTAAACCAGAGGGAACCTGGGCACATAGGAGCAAAAACAAGACAAATGTGGACTGGGTTCAAAAGGAGTTACTAAAATTTTTTTAAAGTCTTTAAAGGATTCTCATTGATTTAGTGGGGAAAAAAAGCTGCATTCAAAGACCAGAAGAAGTAATGAGACAGTGTGGATGAGAATGAGGGTGGAGGTTATGGTGAAAGTGGGTGGGTTAAAGAATAACATCGTGCAAGGCAAATTGATCCATTCCAGCCTTCTGGGGTGGTAGATCACACATGCACGTCAACAGCTGTTGCATATTATATTAAAGCTGTTACCTTAGTCCCASTGAATGAGCACAGACAGATGTTGCATTACAAATGACGCTAGTGCTGATTTGCATGTTGCCTGAGGAGTGTGCACACAACAGACAACAGTTCAGCTGCATGTGTCGTCACACTCACCTTTAGTTTGATGGTGCCTTTATCTGAAACAGGAAGAAAAGCACAAGAGCTTCAGATAGAGGTAATCTTTACATGTCGCTTTACACAGTTTTTGTAAATGGCACTACAAGTGGGATAGCCATTAGTGTCGGGCTGCAACCCTTCTCTGTGCCATCCTGAGCAGAGCGAGCACCATCGGTTAAAGGTGCTGTCAAACGAACACAAGTCGTGTTTCCATCCAATTTTAGTTCAAATTTTGAGCGAACGTTTGAATTGTTGCAAAAAGGAAAAAGAGAAGAAATGCGAATCAGACGTGTTTCCATCAACTGGTTTGGAGCGAATCAACCAGGCTACACAAAGTGCCACTTAGTGTAGTGTTGGTACGATTCACTACGGTTCCAAACCATTTCCATTAGGCCAGATTCATGGAACCAGTCCTTTTTGTAGTACCTACTTTGTTGTGGTTCCAAGTGGTCCCAGTCGACACCAAAATGCGACGTCAGAACACCGTTAGTCACTGATTGGCAAGGGGGTGGAGTCATTGGTTGCATCTGAGCTGCCTTTACAGCAACAACTCGAGGCGCCATTTTTTCCAATTGTAGCAGCAACATTAGTTGTGTTTCCATCCAACTTTAATTTAAATTTTTAGCTAACTTTTTAAATTTCAGAACTTATTYGGCAAATGTGTTGCCATCTCTCATTTTGCGCATTAACTCAAAAAAACACCAAAAAAACCCCACCCCCACCAACCGCCCAAAGCCCACCCACTTGGAACCGACCCGAACTGACCCGTTCCAACACTGACCATACACACACTGTTTACTATGCGTGGCTGTAGTAAACAGGAAGTAAAGTCTCAAACTGTGGCAGGGCAGGGACACACATCTCAGGACAATGGAGAGAAGTTATCARGAACGTGTTGCTACCATCTGGAAAGTTGTAATTATTCTGTCACATCAACTAGTTCTGGCGATATTACATGCTGTCTGGAGACATGGAGAAAGAAATGCAATTTTTTTCATGTTACAGGGGTATCTGGGAAGACGCCGAAAGCTGGAGGAGGGTCCAGTTGCAGCTGGTACAACTATTGGACAGCGGGAACAGCTGATCAAATGGCAAATGTGTTTCCATCTCCCCTTTTGCGCATTAACTCTTTTTCGAAAAATCCAAAAACCACCTCAAGCGAGCGTAAAAAACTTTTTGCGAAAGAGGACATTTTTTCCACCTTTTCTAATGCGATACTTCAAATAAATCCACTGAATTAATGAAATTGTCTTATGGTTCACTTTGGGAATTGCAAGTTTCCTTTTCAAACTATGTCTGCCTGGCCTTAGCTTAAATTGACACTTCAGGTCTTGAACTTTGTCAATTTCAATTTAATTCTTATCAAGTTGGAGAACCAATTCTGAGAGGTCAAGACCAAAGTGAATCTCTTCCCTCTTAAAGAGCCAATGTTATGTGTTTCTCAGGCATATATTTAAATACTATACCATAATGAAATATCTATGTCACCTTTAGCTGTTATTAAAATGCTGTTTTTATGTTTAAATAAAAAATAAACTTATCTTCTCATCACTTCCTCTTCTAAACGCCTTGAAATTGGCCTCTGTCTCTTTAAGAACCACCTTCCGCTTCTGTCCCATTCATCTCAGTGCCCTGGGGAGGGG